GCTCTTTCAAAGTCTCTAAAGGCATATAGTTCTAGTTTTCTCCTAGAACCCACGCTGACATTTAAAGCAGCTCTTCCGCAATAAAAGACTTTGGCAAGTTTTCATCCAATCAACTGCACAACTCTACTGAAACTCTGCCTGTAAGGCTGATTTGTAATGGACTGGCTTGGTTCTCCTTATGTGTTTGGCTTTTCTGAATTGTGACCTTCCCCACACCATAGAAGCTGCATTTCCAAGGAGTGGCAAGAACATGGAAACCCAAGGCATAGGCTGGCCCAAGGGTCCCAGCTGAAGCAGTAAAGGAACTAGGAGTCTTGAAAACTCTCATAGCCACTGAATAGTTCTGAAATAATGTTTCTTTGAAATGTCTTGGTTTCTAGGCTTGCAGGAACAAAGCTACATGTACAGCTTTGTACAGCAAGAGTTTTGTAGTTATTTTAGTAGTGAAATTTTACATGGATGTACTTTACCAGATTTCAGGGAAATTTCAAAAACAAAACAAATCAACAAAAAACCAGAAGCATTTTGACCCAATCCAAAATTAAGCTAGGTTGTTTTTGGTTTTTTTTTTTTGTGAAATAGAATTTTTCAGTGAAGTGAAAGTCTCTTGAATGTTACAGATTTACAGCAATAACTGAGTGGGGAAAAAGATTATTACTTGCACATAAATTTTTGAAGTAGAATTTGCAATGCTAGCATGCATCTCATTCAAATCTGTGAACAACTGAAATATGTGGAACTCTTTTATGTTTGTGTTCTGTTCCTGTAACTTCTGAGAAGAATATGCAGTAAATTAAGGCTATCAATTTCACAATATCTGCTGCTGTGAGTTTTCTCGGTATTCCCTCTTTGCTTTGTCTTTTCTATTACTGTGCTTTTCTGAGAAGTAGCAGTGTGCTCTGTATAAGCTCAGCATCAGTCCAAAAACATTAGTGCTGACGATGCTATATCTGCAAAATATATTCATTTGCCCAAAAATGAATGCAATTGTCATGACATTCTGGGAGAGAACAAACAATTTCTAGTTAGTCAGGTCCTAGGCCCTTATTTAGGTCTCCTTGAGGAAAGCAAAGGTATCTGCAATGGGCAGTGAACCAGCAGCTGTGCTGAACAATGTGCTGAGCGATGTCCAGCTCTTTCTGCTGGTACATTAGGTCTAAATTTCCATCTCCTCCACAGCACAGATACAGTGGAAAAACAAGATTTGCCATTTTTTTCCCATGGATGGCTTTCAAACTTGGCTCAGAATTATACTTCCTAGAATGTGTGATGAGGAGCCTCATAATAGAGCTAGGCAGTATTTGACTGTGATTTGCCAGTAGAATAACTGCTCTGTCCTGATCTGCAGGTGTAGTAGGAATTTTTGTCTGCTGACTGCTGATGGAATTGTTTTCTAGATGCAACTGTGTAACGCTTGTTTTCCATGCTGATTTTCTTGGGTTCAAGCCTTTAGAAGTCAGACAACAAACGTATGACAGGAAGGAAGGACCTGTCAGGGTAGTGATGTAATTGCATGCAGAAGAGATAGGTTCAAATTCTGGCTTTGCTGCAGGTTTCCGATGTGACCTTGCAAAAACATCCCAGTGCATCAGCTGCCATAGCAAAACAAAGATATTTCCTTTCTTCCACTGGCTGTCTCACATGCAAACTTTTGAGGACAAGCTTTATTACTTACAGTCTTACAGAACTGGGACGATTAGCTGCCTCTGTGTTACCAGCAATACATAAAAGTGAAACAGGCAGTCTTGTTCTGCAGCAATGACAGCCCTGGAGTGCTGTCAAGGGAATACTGATCAGAAGCACATGTGGTGTTTGAAAAGCATTTTATCGCTCATTACCAATTCCCTAGTTCATCCAGCCTTCCAGTTATCCTCATGTAAAGAAAGAGGCAGTGCCAAAAGCTGATGAACAAAGCTGTAGCTTCTTCCCTTCACTTCTTGAATGGGGTACAAAGAGAAATAGCAGTTGCTCTGCGTGTCATGGCACTTTATACCTAAGTTCCCCTTGTGAGTTTTGCTCCTGCAGGGTGGAAATGGAGGAAGCTGGGCCAGTGTGCAGTGTGCTAGCAGACGTGGCAGGAGGCTCATCCTGACCTGCCTCTCTCTAGAGGACACACAGCATCAGCCACATGCAGGGGGTGATCTGCAAGACTGGGGTGAGGAATAGGATCAGCTCCCTGTGATATTGCCTCCGTGCTGCTTTGAGCTTCAGCTCTGTGTGCGCTTCCCATGAGGTAGGTGTCAGAGCCTGTAATGTTTTCAGCTGCTGCAGGAAGTCATGCTCAAAAATATCATCATGTATTTATCTGGAAAGAACTTTAAAAACAGTGCATTATGAGCAAGTCTTCTCAGTCATTGGACTCAGATGGTGGAAAATGGAAAAGAAAATGACCCACTTGTCCACATAAGCAGCTCTAGACTGGCATGAAATGGAAATACCTTGCACTCCAAGGAAACTATGTAGGAATAATTTAGCTTGAGAAAGATGTTTGTGGTGTCTGCCCTACGAGCTGGGCAAAGACACCACTGTTGTGCTGCTTACTTCTGTGAAAGACTGCCAGGGTCTCTGAAACTTCTGTGGTGCGTACTGCAAATCTTGGAGAGATTGATTGTGGTTAGAGAGCAGAAAGGGTGTAGTTACATCGGTGTGGTGATGCCTTAGCAAATACATTGCACTATAAACAAGCCCTAGGTTAGCTGGGCTGGTATCAGACTGGTGTCTCCTAATGGCATGGTAGGATGATAGCAGAACAGTAATTCACAGGGAGGAGTGCTGTCTACAAAATTACAATGTCTCCATTTTAAGCTCCTGGTATGTTTCTGGAGGTTTTTGTCAGCCAAACATTGGCACAATATTGTTTGTCCTAGCTGAAAAGACCACAGCTTGTATTGATTGTAGGCCATTACGGCAGTAGTAAAAGGGGACTTAAAGAAATATATTAACTAAGGAGGCAACACTTTGATGAGGTTCCAAGAGGAGCATATAAAAGACCTTTTTGATTAAAATGTGTTTCGGTTCTGCATTAAGATGTGTGTGTTTGGGAGGATGCTTACTGATAAAGATCTCTTTTGCCCCCTCACCTGCCTGTGAATTTGTCACATCAGTGACATCCACTTACAACTCTTGTCCATTTTCAATCCTTGTCCTCTTTTTTTTTTTTCTCCTTGTTTCTTGTCCCTTCCTGCTTCATGCTCTATATTCATCACCACTTTGTTCATTTTTTATTCTCTCTTCATGAGTTCAGGGTTATTCTTTCCACTCTGGCCACTTGAATCTAGCTGTAAATAGGTATGCCCACATAAAGGAGTAGCGGTCCGAAGTGTTCGGTGTGCTGTCACCTTTGTGTTACTTAGGGTTTCTTTAAAGGTTGTTGAAGTTGAGTTCAGTGCCTGAACATTTGTGACTTATTTATAGTTTCCAATCGGTAAAGTTCATGGAGCTCTATAAAGTCATTTTGTTAAAGCATTTTGCTGAACCACACGGGCTCCACGCCAAACAAACTTACCACGGTCAGATTCTTTAGATCTTAGAGCTGTGGTTGTCAAAAGTGCCAAAAAAACAAGTGCTCAAGGCCAGATTTTTGAAAGTTTGTTTAGTCATCTAACCATCTCTGAAGTGGGAGTTTGTCCTCAGTTCTTGCTGCAGTTGAGTTTAGATAGTGAGAGGAATTTAATTTTGTCACCCATCCGTGGGAAGACGCTTTTCAGCTCTGAACGTGTTTTGCTACAGGGTAAAATGTATGGCTTTTTCTTATAAGGAAAGTTATCAGTCAACACTAGATCAGTGGTAATTTTATTAGCTTCAGAACCCCATCCAGTCTTATTTGGAAGAATCTGCTTTATTTTCTATCTGCACATCTGTGTAGCAGCTGCAGTTACACAGTTCCCAAGGGCTCAGTCTAATTTGTAGAATTACAGGGGTTGTGCCTGGCTATAGAAAAGGTCTATTAGTGTTGCTGATGTTGAAAATTTAAGCCTGATGCATTCCACATGTTTGTTTTGTTTGATTAGACTTTCTGGGCCCGTGGAAAAAATTAATTTTAAACCACTGTAACTATTGTGTTGTCTAATTCCTGATTAATGATTTCTGGGGGTCACTGTTTCATACCATCTCCTCTGAGATTCTAACAGCAGTGTCAGGTGAACTGTGAACTCAGCTGAATTGTCTCTTTCTCATCTTTTTCTGAACTACACACAGAAATCAATTTCTCCATTCCTGGAAAGTAGCCACTCTCAGAGAAATAGCAGTTGATAGAAGAGGTGTGTACAAAGCGCACAAAGAACAGCGTTTCATCCAAATTAAACCACTAAGATCATTTTGCATAGCGGAGTGAATGTTGACCTAATTTGAATGTGGTCGGAACACTCAGCACAAGACTTCACTACAGTATTTACAGGATTCTGACAACAGCCTGTACCCCACAGTGAAGAGAGACATGAGGCTGTATTCTTAGACAACAGCAGATCAGCAGTTCTGCAAGTGAAAAGCACTGGAAAAAATAACACTTCAATTTCTGAACCTTTGGACAATGCATCTGTTGTCTGGAATTGACCAGGGCTTCTTGCCAGACTGAAACCTCATAGAGGAAAGTGCCACCTACTGTGTAACCACATCCTGCCCTGCATCTTCTCTGCCTTCTGTCTACATGCTGCTCATCAGCTCAAACAAAAGCTGACAGCTTTGACACTTTCTGTGCTTGAAGGAACACTGAAGATGAATTACCAAGTGGGAACTGCTTTGCCCTTCGGCATGAGCTGGGGGTGTCCTCATGGAAAATGAACTGGAGGTGGATGTGAGAGGGGCTTAAATATTATTTAGCTGATATTTTGGATTTGCTACTGGAAAAAAAATTGTAGCATTTTCTTGTCGGGCTGACTCTATGAATTCTAATTTGTCAAACTAAGGCAATTATTTTAATTTAAATTTGCTTCTGATTAGTTTGTATCCATCTCAGTTGTTATGAAACATTCACACAGTGCCTTATTTCACTTCTGCTGCAGGGCTGGGTTCACTGGAAGAAGCCAGATGATGGTTATGTGGTAATGCAGTTTGCATCACAGAAGTCCTATCATACTGGAAAATATAGTCATGGAGACATTTGGCAGGGCACAGAAATGGAACTGAGGCAGACTTCAGGAGGTACTGTGAGAGCTCAGTGGAAAGTAATCCAAAGAAAAGATTTTAACACATACAAGTATTCTGAATGGTAATATCTCTGCAGGAAGAATCTCAATATTTTATTTGTTCTTCCTTCCTTTACTTGAATAGCTAAAAGAATATATCTTATTTATCCCAGTCTTATAGCTGCCAAACTACTGTCTTTGGAGATAGGTTTTTGAACTGAAAACTGTAAGGAGGAGGCCATCTCAAGAGAATGGGTTTTTTTTTGTCCTTGTGTTCCACAGTTGAGATGGATTACACAAGATACAAGTGCATCATAGCCATCCTTATCATCTAGATTCTCCTGAAACAATTGAACAAACTCCTGTAATCTCCAGTGCAGCCAAGAATTCACCCTCACTTGAGGTCTTTAAGCCCTCTTGCTCTTTCTGTCCTTTGTACATGCCCTCTCGCTTTCTCTCTCACCCTAAATTCCCCAGTCTATGCTTATGGGCTTACTACATCCATCACAAAAATGCAGCCATTCCTGTTCAGCAGCTTGCAGCAGTGTTACATAAACAAATCAAGAGAAACATGGGAATAGAGTATCAAATATCATAGGTGACTTTAGAACTCTTTTTTTTTTAAAATGTATTTTGACATTTAAAATTATAACATATTGTTTTTCCATGTACTCTTTCTTCAAACCTTGGTTTTCTTTTGGACAAACAGATAGTGCTGTAAGAATTGTTCGAGTGCTTGCAAATACATGTTGGGAGGTGCAGCTTGAAGCTTATCACAACAAAAGCAAGCACACACAATGGCTTCAAATGTCTTTCACCTATCGTTAAGAGTAATTTTGTCATTGATTTAAGTAACAAAAATATTGAGGCCAGTGAAAAGAAGATAACTAATCAAGTTTTCCTGTTCTTTGTTTACCTTTCATTCATTATCTCATTATCTATTCTTTGCTATAATCTCATTATTTAATATTCCTTTAGCTAAATATGTGCAAACAGTGTATATTTTTGCATGCTGTGTAACTGTTTGCACTGACAACTTGATAGTTTTGCCTTTCAGAGAGGCTGCCACGACATTGTGCAGTCTTCTGATTTGCTGCACCATTCTGGTTACCTCTTCAGCCATGTTCTCTGCTCCAGCTTTCACGTCTGTATTTCTAACTGTGTAATGTCCAAATTTGAGTCAACTCCATAGTTCCCTGTGGAGAACTTCAAACTGAAAGGAAAAGATTAATGGTCATTTAACAACCTGTGGAGAAGACACTACTTTAGTTGTCTTCATTGTTTAACATTAGTTGATATATGTGCAACAGAAAAAATGAAGTAACGGGAACAAACTCAACCAAGTCAGGAGATGTTTGGAAATTCAGATTTTTGGTTTAGTGAAAGCCTGAAAAAGTAAGAGATCTATGGGAAACGTGAAAATGTGTGGACTAAAGCAAAGTGAGACTCCATTAGTCAGCTTTACTGAAGTACATTGGTAGAACATGAAGTCCTAGTTTTGTGGTCTGAAAAACAAATAAACTTTGGGTGTTTCTCTTAGTTCATGTTTGTAAGCATAGGTACTTGAAGGAAGTGAGGTTATGCCAATATGTTTTAATTAAAGTCTGTTCCCCTGTACCTACAAAAATGATGACAGGCCATTTTTTATGAACAGTGTCTGTGTAGGTCAAATTCAGGTTTCTGAAAAGCTGTGCTTTTCAACGAGTAAACACTCATTGCCATTCACTAGAATGAATCAAATTGTTATGCAATGTAAATTTTTGTCAATTATTGTATTACTAGTAAAATTGCTTGGCTTTTACCTTCCCCTGTTCTCTTTATCTTTTCTTTTTCCCCTGTCAATAGCCAACTAAAGAAGTGGAAGTCTTCCCTAAGCTGGTACTCCTGCAAAACTCAGCTTCTGGAATGGACTGTTGCAAACCCTGAAAGGCTGAAAGTGAATACTTTTCTGTGAGAGTCACATTGTGCCAGCCCTCCAACTCTGCACGTTTGTAAAGTGGTTGGTTATGAAAAGTACCATCACTCTTAGACATACAGCATAAATAAAAGGAAAGATTGCTGCTTGGCTTTCTGCCAAGTTTGTTTCCATTAAGAAGTACTGGAATCTGAATTTCTGCATTTTCTGTTGTTGCTGTTGTGTTGTTTTTCTGTTGTTTTTTCTTTTTAATATTTATTTTTTGAGCACGTAACTGTAGGATGATCCTAAAATTTCACTATGTGAAAAACTGCTCAGGAAATTCTAACACACTCTACCAGATCACTGCATCCATGTGCCAGGGAATGAATGGAGAACGTTTACATTTAAGGTAAACACTGGTGACATTAGGAAATATTACTTAAAAAACTAAGCACATTGTTTTAGCTTCACGTCCTCTTGAACTGAAAGTAGTTGAAGAAATTATAATGTTATTACTAAATGAAAGAATATAGTATTCTGGGGTGGAAACTGACATGCATTTAATTTGTTTTAATACTGGATGAAGAGATTGCTTCTTTTAGTGACTGCTAAATTCAGATGTGGAGTTAAGTTTTTATATAAGTGGGCTCCAGAAAAATGCTAATATTTTTAAAGAAATATAGGCAGAAGAAATACATTTTGTGTAGCAGCACAGAAGAGTCACTCTTTTGTGAATGCAAAGGTGAGTCTGAATGAAAGGGAAACGGATGGAGAATCTTCTGCTTAAATCATCTAATTCTCCACTGTGTGTGACCTGTCATTGGGAAGCAGGGGGCTCACAAAACCCCTCAGAGTTTATCTCCAAGTTGTCCCTGAGAGATTTTGTCTTCATCAGGAATGTAAGGGGCCCTGGGTCTGTTCCTGAAAATTAGCAACCTCTCAATCAGTGCACATGATGTGTTTGCAAATTGCTATGAAACCATCAAACATTTGCTGGGATAAGTATGCAAATGTCCGTGGCAAATCTCCATAATTGCTGGAACTTTCCTACTCCTGTAATTCACAGCAATTCTTGAAAGATTCCCAGATTTTCCTATGTTGCTATTTTTATTTTGAATGGGAAAAGTGGGAAGTGTTTATGAACAGTACCAGATGTAGACACCTTTTGTGTAAAATTATTCTCTGCTCTTTTAATAGTGCACAGAGATGAATTCATGCAGTACATTGGCATCATTGTATGGTCTGCATTCACAAGCATGTTGTGAAATTGATTCGAAACCAAATGTTGGTATTTAATATGCAAGAAAATACCATGTTTAGCTGCCTACTTACAGACTGCATTTTTAAAATAATGATTGCCATGCCATGCCAGCCATATTCACTTACAAAAATCAAGATGTGTTGCAAATTTTCCTAAGCCTAATTTTTCCTAAGCCTATTCCTAAGCAGTTCTTGGCATTAGCATTACAAAGGAATTTAAGTAGCTCATTATAAAGGTTAATTTGGCAAATCAAATAAAAATGTTTTATCTGTTTAATTTAATTTTGAGTAATTTTCAAGATGTTTGGGAAGCCAGAGGTAACCAAGGATGTTGTGCATAGCAGCTTCAGCTGACTGCATCACACAAGCAGAATTTTGGGGGTGGTTCCTCCCCACTTGGTATGGAATAGGAAGTGGGATCCAGAGTACAGTCCCCAGCCCCTTATAGTGGCTGGTGTGTAAGTCTTTTTCTAGAGAAAGACCAGTCAAAAGTAAAAAGCATATAAAAAGCAACTCCTTAGTGAGATCTGAATACAAGGGCTCTCCAAAGTACCAATAAACTGGTCAGAAAAAAATAACAGCATCTGAAATAATCTTCCATCAGAAGAGGGGTGCCCAGCAGGGACAGGATTGTCCCTATCTACTCTGCTCTTGTGAGGCCCCATCTGGAGTACTGTGTCCAGGTCTGGAGCCTCCTATACAAGGAAGACAGGGAGCTGTTGGAGAGGGTCCACAGGAGGGCACTAAGATGATCAGAGGGCTGGAGCACCTCTCCTATGAGGAAAAGTTGAGAAAACTGGGATTGTTTGGCTTGGAGAAAAAAAGGCTCCAGGGAGACATCATTGTGGTCTTCCAGTACTTGAAGGGAGCATATAAACAGGAGGGGGAATGGCTGTTTATGAGGGTAGATAGTGACAGGACAAGGGGGAATGGCTTTAAACTGAGACAGGGGAGGCTTGGGGTGGATATGAGGAGGAAGTTTTTCAGCCAGAGGGTGGTGAGGCACTGGAACAGGTTGCCCAAGGAGGCTGTGGATGCCCCATCCCTGCAGGCATTCAAGGCCAGGCTGGATGTGGCTCTGGGCAGCCTGGGCTGCTGGTTGGCAACCCTGGACATAGCAGGGGGTTGGAACTGGATGATCACTGTGGTCCTTTTCAACCCAGGCCATTCTGTGATCTTATCTGTCATGTTGGCTTATGAGGGTTCCAGTGACTTAAATGATCTTGAAAATCTGTTTCAAGATAAATCTAGTACAGTTTAGTTAATGTTGAAATTTTAGTAACAGGTAAGCTAATGAAAGAATGGTAATGACATAGGACTAAAGAACTAATGATACATTTTTTTTCTTAACAAAGAAGCTCCTGAACCAGAGATGACAAGTGATTGAGTAGTGACATCCTTTTTGGACCCACTCACCAGCCAGTGATGACAGAAGGCTGTCTGAATACCTGTTTCTTGCTCGTTATGGAGATGTGATGAAGATACAGTCCACCTCAGCTTTCTGAGACACAGGTACGCATGAATAGAAGCACTGATGTTTTTTCCATGCTAGTTTCTGCTTTGTTGGTATCAGTGGTATGGTACTGTGGGCTCAGGGCTTGCTGCATTTGAAATTGGAGAAAGTGATTCCCAGGAATAAACTAATTTCCTTAGGACAAGATCTGTGTCCTCATGTACATGGCTTTTCAGCTAATAACTGCTCAGTCATGCATTTCCTATGAGCTTTGTTTTGCTTAGCAGAGGTATCTCCCACATGTGAGCTGTGTCAGCTCAGTGAGTCATGATATGGTATGATATCAGAACAACCCTGTTCTATTGTCAAAACCAACAACTGGCACTGTAAATTATACTGCCACTAATGAAGAGAATTAGACACACAAAAAAACATCATTCAGTTTTGAGGGGCATAATCAAACAAAGGGAATGGAGCAGATTCTGTTTAGTACCTGGCCACTGTAATGCATCTAAATTCTGTTGTGCAACCTTTGTTTGCATAAACTGAACAACATGACTTATTTGCTCTAATCAGCAAAGGACTTTGTGGGTGTATAGGTCTACATCAACTCAAAGCATTTGGCATTCTTCTACTAGCCAGATAACATCTCTGACAAGGAGGGCAGTTGTTTGAAGAAAAAGAAAAAAAAAAGAAAAAAAAAAAAAAAAAGGCTGTTGAGATTGAGGATCACTGGGACTGGGAGAGATGGAGTGCAGGGACTTCAGAGCTCTGGACAGGTTTCATCAATCAGGAGACTGCACATCACCATGCAAAAAGGAGACTTGGACTCCTGAAGTTTTTCGGTCATGTATTAAAAAGAACAACATAGTAAACCCTGTGACAGACATTGAATATTTTCCCTCAGCACCAGATTAATTCAGTATTTGTGCAAATAAAGCTTCCTAGGCACCCCAAATGCTGCTACCTATTTGTAAAGTACTGGCAAAAGGTTTTTAGAGTACTTAAAATTATTCAAGGATACCAGCTTCAGCAATAACAAGTTGTTTCCATCTACAATTGCTACGTGCAGTTGAGCTGAAGGCTAAGTGAGGTTTTCCATGTCTGTAAAGGTTTATAGTTCTACTTCTTTATTTTAACATAATTTTATACAACAAATAGTGTGTGCATTGTGTATATGAGGAAATGAAAGCAATTACTATTTTAATAAACATTCAGCAGAATGTGATTACTTCAGTCCACCTGCAGGTGGTATTTAATCTGTAATGCAAGTAGTTACAAAGATACTCTAATCACCCACAGGAAAAGCCAAACAAACAAAAACATGGCAGGAAATGCCTATTTCTGATTAAGCCCATGGAACTGAGATTAGCCAAAGCAAGCTGTGTGACATAACAGGAATGGAAAGGGCTGATGTTAGCCTCAGGAAAGCTAGTGGAGTTTGTTAGCTGATTTGGATTCAATATGTTTTTTGTTATTAGCTTATTCCAGGATTCTCAGAGGTATGAAAAGTAACTTCCTAATTACAGATGTGATTAGATGCTGTAGTCCCTCTCTTATTAACCTTGACTTCAGCGAAGTCAGGATTTCATCCTTCTAACAGTATCTACCTCCCAGAAGTATAGCCATTTTACTCAAACCAGGTCTTCTCTGCCTTCCTGTTTTCTTTCAGTAGTATTCCAACTTTGAAAAACCTTTTAGGTGAGATTCTAAAATAATAGCTTGTGCAGCACCCTCTAAAATAAGTAACTGTATGGTATCATACAAATTGAGAAATGTTGCTGCATACCTGTTCTGTAGCATTTCTTGGGTTAAAGAAGGAAGACAACACCATCTGCGAAGGTAACCTTCACATTTCTTCAGAACTTGCATTTGCATCTCACTACATAGATTTATAATTGTACCCAACATACTGCTAATGATGGCATTTATATTTGGGAATATGTGATTAACTTCTCTTGTGTCATAAATTAGTATTTCTAGGGCAATGTGAGCCGCATTCATAGCCAACAAAAGCCTTACTTTACTCTTCCTCTGTGATTTTGTTTCTTCTTTAAATCATATGTTGTGATTTCCATATCTTTTCACTGCAATGCTGCTGAACTTCAGAATAAGTATTTATGCACCATTCTGTTCTTACAAAAAGTCTGCAATTAATTTTGATCCAGTATTTCTCAAACTTTATGCATGCTATTGTCTAAACGTGTCCATTTTGTATGTAACGGGAGCTAGATACTATCTATCCTTTCTTATTCTTCTTATTCAAAACTATATAGTTTCAGTATGATTTTAAGGCATAAAACAAAGATAATTCTTCACATTCTGAATGGTAGTTTCTGCATCAAAGTCTATGATTACTTTCATCTATTAGTACTCTACCTGGAAGCATTGCTGTCTTGCTCATGAAGCAACACAGAGCACCTCCTCAAACTTCCAGACCTAACTATCATTGTTGCCATGTTTTCCTTAGAGTTTATGTCTGCTTTTAATTCATGCTGCCTTTACTTTTAGTAGCTCTTGGAGACAATAGTTCAACTAGAACTCTTCCTGGTGTATTTATATGCAGGGGGAGACGGCTCTGTTTGTATGACTAGATAAAACAGTGCTGGAGAGAGTGCTGCTCAGGAATGATGCCAGGAAAAAAAACAAGTTTTTCTGAATCACAGAAGGCCTGACAACAGGCTCAAGAGGTTTTTCCTGCATTTTGTCTCTCATGACTTCCTAAAGCCACTGCACCAGCACATACTGTTCAAAACCCAAAGTGCCAAGCCAGTGGTCTGTAAGTGGCATAATGTTTCACTGTATGTCTTGTAGCACAGAGGTAAGATGTAGATTCATGGTAGATCCCTGCGGGTCACCATCAGGATCTGTGAACCACTGACCAATGTGTCACATCTATATAATTTAATTTGACACAGCAATAAACACAGGCTTGGAAAAAGTGTAAAATACATGCATCATAGTAGCTGACAAATTTTCCTTACAAAAAAATTTTGCTCTTTGCAAGACTCTTTATGCATCTAGATATTTATTCTTGGTATACCCCAAACACTCCTGACTTCCAAGCAGGAATTTCAGCTGCTGTAGAGACACAGATTTCCCTTCAGTTGCTATATGTTTAGAAGATGAATGAAGACTCTGCAATACACAGCCGTTCTGTCCAAAGTGCCAAGCAGGGCAACATGCCAGTCTTGACGCTTGCTGACTCTTCCTGCAACTTTCCACAATGTCTGACCAAGATGGCTTTCTGTTTAGTACCTGCTGCTGTCAAGTTTTCTGTTCAACAATCCTACTATAAGCAATGTTCCGACAGTCAAAATGCTTGCTTAAAAGAGTTAAGACTTAAGAGTTGACTTAAAAGAAGAAAACATATCTTGCTTCATGCTGGATCTCTCCCTTCACTTCTTTCCTCAGCTCTGACTGTTAAGGAGGAAGAATTTTACAAGAAAAGAGAAAGCAGGTTTTAGTTGGTTTAGTTAGCGAGCAGTAAGGGGTTGAAACTTAGTAGCATATATTCCTTGGGAAAAAAATATAGGTGGATTGTGGTACCTGATTTGTTTATTTTTCTAGCTGAGGTTTTTTCCTCTGAAGACGCCAGCTTGCTGGAGCAGTACTCCATATACAGAAGGTTCATTTACAGTGGCAGGCAAACAGCTGTGCTCTCAGCTTTATTTAGTTTATGTTGTGATTGATGACTTGAGTGGGAGATGTGAAGAGTGAATTAACAGCTTTAGTAAAAACACACTGTCTTCCCACTGACTTTCCACTCCGTGTCATCTTGTCTGTCTTGTCTTTGGAGAACTCCTTTCCTTCCTTTTTTTTTACTTTCTTAATTTATACTTTTTCTTCACCACACATACTAGTTCTCTGAACAAGTCATTATGTTCACCCCTGTTGGTGAATAATTCATACTTGCAAGGAAAGAAGCCTTTGAACATCTACCTGTAGAAGATAGTTCTGGAAAAGGATTACAGTAGAGCACATTTGAAGAGTAGTCAGGTGGTTAGGATAGGAGCCTGCAATCTGGGAGATTTTTCTTCTTTTGTTGGCATTTTGTGATGCCTTATGACTGTAAAAGAAGCAGTGTCACTCTCCTACAGAAAAAGTCCTAGTGATTTAGTTTCTTTCTTTTTCTTTCCTGCTAGTGCCTGAGCGTACACTGTGCAACGCTACTCTGAGCATATAAAAGTGAATTATGTGTGATTTATAGAAGCTGTGAGCTTTTGTCTTTTTATTGTTTAAAAATGCTGAATGCCAAGGAAATGGAACTAAATGGGATCTCAACAGACTGTTTAATTTCTACCTCAATACAAGGCCAGACAACTCGTACTTGAGATCTCACAGATGTTCTTCTGCTCGTTCTTAGACAGCTACAATGATGAACTCTCTCCAGTCAATGTATTCTTGACTTCTGCTATCCCAAACTTGAGAATATTTGATTTTATTAATTCTTGAGTATTCTGTCATGAAATTTAATCCTCATTAATTTCGTACATCACACATCTTGAGAGTAGGTTTCCTGTCCTTTCTGCAATATCTTTTTGTTTAGTATTCTGCCTGGCTTATATATTCCTTTCTGCAGGCTAAGCATTCCATGCCCAGGCCTTCAGCCAGGTCCAGTACCTCCTCTTCTTTCTTGAAATGCAGCACCATAAAATTAGACATTATGCCCCATTTAAGTAGACTGAAAATGTTACTTCCAGGCTGATTGTACGTCCCATTGTGACGTAAACTTTTTTCAGAGGATGACCTGCTGACTCTGGCTGGCAGGACTACTGCATCCCTTTATGCAAACCTGCCATCCAGCCATTAGCTGTCAGATATTCTATGGCTGATTATTCATTCCTGTGCACTTGACATTATGGAACTTTACATTATGGTTCTTTACAGACCAGTTCTATTACTTGTGTAGAATCAAGTTTGCTCTCCAATGTATTAATTCTCCCCTTATCTTCATGTCATTTATCAATTAATAGCTTCACTCCCAGTTCTCCTGACTATTAGCTGCCTACTCCTGGTCATTCATATGGTCGTAGTAAAAATCCCATGGCATCCTTGGGAGAATCCTACCTTCCATTTACATTAAACATAGATAAGTATTTGATAAGCATTCTCTTTTCTAACCAGTTTTGTACCTGACCTTTTGCATTTTAATCTAGGAAGCCATCAGTGTGATTATAAGAAAATACCAAAAGCTTTACTAATGTAAACTTTTGTGTTATCTAAGCTTCTGCATAATCATAAGACTTGATACAATATAATAGAGAAAAACTAGAATAGTATTACATTACTTTCTGTTAACTTGGGTTCACGCTAACTGCCACTTATGGACTTATTCTCAGTGTTTACACACAGATTACTTAATTATTACATGCCAGTATTTTTTTTTTTTGATGAATGAAATATGCTGTCAGGCCTGAAAATTCTCAGCTGTTCTATTTCTGCTCCTTTGTATGTATAATCACCATTTTCTCCCTTCTGCAGTCTTCTGGCATGCTATTAGTCCTCCATATATTTCATCAGATAGGCAATTGCTGGGGGGCTTTCACCAGTCTTCCTCAGGTTTTTGTATATGTTAGCCTGACTTGAATGTATTTAACCTGCCTAAGTACTCTTAACTTCTCCTTCCCTCGTTCTTGTCTCAGTATTAACTAAAATTGCATTTGATTGTAATT